CTGTTCCCCAGGGAAGGGCACTGCGTCCCTGAATCACAGGGAGGGGAGGCAAGGGCAGGGTTGGCATCGCTTGCTGCTGAGATTGAAGCTTCTTTCCCCCAACCCTGCCCACCCCCACATGCTGACGTCAGTGTGGGTCCTGGGGTGCCTATTAGCAAAGCTGAAATTTCCCCAGGGCCCTGGCAAGAGGCTCCCACCAGCTAGCAGAGGAACCGAGGCCAGAAAGAAAGCACAAACAGGGGAGACGACCTGACTTTTAATGGCACAGCCCTAGCCCCCAGCAAAGCAGCAAGACAGTAAGCTATGCAAAGCTGTTTATGCAGTGACATAAACAACTCGAGGAGACGGCCCTGTTCCCTCCCATCCCCCACGCTTATGACTGGGCTCCATGCCAAGGAACTTTGGGCCAGCTCAGCCCCACTCCCAAGCCCTCGTAACACAGAGGTGCCTGGGCCAAGCCTTGCTTCCAGAGTCGGTGAATGCAGAAGCAGCAGGAAGAACAGGTCTAGTCCAACTCAAATACAGAAACTTTTCGACTTAAAACTCCTACTTGGAAAAGAAGTGAAGACTCATATCCTTCAATAGGCTGTGGCTGGACAGACTGGTCCAGGATTCAGTCCTCATTTCCTCCCTATCCTGGGTACCCCTTAGGATCCTACATCAAGGTCCCTGGGGTCATGTTTCCTGAGTCTGGCAAGGGATCCTTGGCAAGTCTCACCTTCAGCCATGGAAGGGAAAAGGGTCATGAGCAGCAAATAGGGCAGAAGCAGCAGCAGCACAAAGGAAGGCAGCAGAAGCTCAAGTACTCACATCACAGAGGGAACAAGAAATCGTGCAAGGAGACTGTTTATTTCGAAAGGATTTTGCAATGAACATAGTGAGTGGGCTCCAGGCAGCTGGTCTATTCTTCTCCCTCATCCTCGTCCTCATAGGAGTCGATGCCAACTTCCTCATAATCCTTCTCCAGGGCAGCCATATCCTCCCGGGCCTCAGAGAACTCACCCTCCTCCATGCCCTCGCCCACATACCAGTGCACAAATGCCCTCTTGGCATACATCAGGTCGAACTTGTGGTCCAGACGGGCCCAGGCCTCGGCGATGGCGGTCGTGTTACTCAGCATGCACACGGCACGCTGCACCTTGGCCAGGTCACCGCCGGGCACCACAGTGGGTGGCTGGTAGTTGATGCCAACCTTGAAGCCTGTGGGGCACCAGTCCACGAACTGAATACTGCGCTTGGTCTTGATGGCAGCGATGGCAGCGTTGACATCCTTGGGCACCACGTCTCCACGGTACAGCAGGCAGCAGGCCATGTACTTGCCATGACGGGGATCACACTTCACCATCTGGTTGGCAGGCTCAAAGCAGGAATTGGTGATCTCCGCCACCGACAGCTGCTCGTGGTATGCCTTCTCTGCGGAGATGACTGGCGCATAGGTGGCCAGGGGGAAGTGGATGCGTGGGTAGGGCACCAGGTTGGTCTGGAACTCTGTCAGGTCCACGTTGAGGGCCCCGTCAAAGCGCAGGGAAGCTGTGATGGAGGAGACGATCTGGCTGATGAGGCGGTTGAGGTTGGTGTAGGTGGGGCGTTCGATGTCCAGGTTGCGGCGGCAGATGTCATAGATGGCTTCGTTGTCCACCATGAAGGCGCAGTCTGAGTGCTCCAGGGTGGTGTGGGTGGTCAGGATGGAGTTGTAGGGCTCGACCACAGCTGTGGACACCTGGGGGGCTGGGTAGATGGAGAACTCCAGCTTGGATTTCTTGCCATAATCAACAGAGAGCCTCTCCATCAAGAGTGAGGTGAAGCCGGAGCCGGTGCCCCCGCCAAAGCTGTGGAAGACCAGGAAGCCCTGAAGTCCTGTGCACTGGTCAGACTGAAAGACAAGAAAGAGAAAGAGCAATGTAGGTGGGAGAGGGTCCTGAGGAACTCTATCTTCTCGCTCCACAAAAGACTAAATATCTTAGGAGTCAGGGCACAGACTAATGAGTGTTCTGTAGCAGCAACATGCTCTGGAACATGTACAATTAGAGTGACTCCCTCAAAAAGGCCTGGAAAAAATGTTCCTGACCCTTAGCATCATCAAAAGCTACCTCCCGTCCATGCCAGACTCTCACCAGCTTGCGGATCCGGTCCAGTACTGGGTCAATGATCTCCTTGCCAATGGTGTAGTGGCCCCGGGCGTAGTTGTTCGCAGCATCCTCTTTCCCGGTGATGAGCTGCTCTGGATGGAAGAGCTGCCGGTATGGGCCATTTCGGATCTCATCTGCAAGGGCACAAACCACACTGTCAGGGCCCAAACCACAGGCTGTGCTCAGCCGGGGCCTCCCTCCCTCAGTGCGGTAGCTGCAGTGAGATATGTGGAATAGCTCATCCTTCTGCCAGGCCAAGATACCAGTGTGAGAGAAACCCAGACCTGCTGTGCAAGGCCAGCATTCGATTAGATTCAAACTGAGTGAGAAGTTTTCAGGGTGAGGAAAGCCAGGTCTAGGTACTCTCACCAGAAAGAAGCGTTAGAGTCACTCTCCACTCCCTTCAATTCCACCCCCTTCTTTCTCTCACCTATTACAGTGGGCTCCAAATCCACAAAAACTGCCCGGGGCACGTGCTTTCCAGCTCCGGTTTCACAGAAGAAGGTGGTGAAGGAGTCGTCTCCTCCACCAATGGTCTTGTCACTGGGCATCTGCCCATCAGGCTGAATCCCATGTTCCAGACAGTAGAGTTCCCAGCAGGCATTGCCCATCTGGACACCTGCTTGCCCCACATGGACTGAGATACATTCACGCTGAGGAATAAAAAGAGGGGACAGAGAATAAGTCCTACATCCATAAGTCCTCATTTATAAACCTCTCTCCCATCCTATCACCTTTTAGCTAGGATGACTCAGTTGGCAAAAGTAGAAATTTGGGGCTGGACAGAGGTCAGAAAAGGCTGGCAGCCTGCCCAGGCTCCAACTGGAGGCACCCAGTAGGGCAGGCCAGCCCCTTAGCCTACTACTCCATGGGGTCCTTGTTAACTAAGAGCTGAGGTTCACCCAGCCGGTGTGGCTCAGTGGTTGAGCATGGAACCAGGAGGTCACCAATTTGATTCCTAGTCAGGGCACATGACCAGGTTGGGGGCTTGTGCAGGAGGCAGCCAATTGATGATGTTTCTATTTCCGTATCCTTCTCCCTTCCCCCCTCTCTAAAAATCAATAAAAACATATTTTTTAAAAAAGCAAGAGCTGTGGCTCCACATGACCCCACACTCACAGAATACTCAGGGAGGGTGGAGAGGGCAAGTGCAGTAACTGAGACAAGGACAAGCAACTTTCTAGCTGTTCCTGATTCCTACCCTCACAACAACAGCTTCTGAAGAGCCTGAGAAAAGACAGGTTTTCCAGACCTGTCAGTTTATAGCTAGAGGCCCCCACTCGCTTAATCTTTGCTTGGAGGATAAACAACTGAAATTTCATATAACCTTCTCCCCCTTTCTTTTCTGTGGGCTGCAGAGGTATCTCAGCCTTCCAGTCTGGCATCAACTGACCACACTGGCATCAGGATGCCCTCTCCCCCACCTTTAAATCCCATCTGGCTCTGGGGATCAATTCCATCTGGCTCCTTCTCCTGCTCCCTTCTCTCCCTCCCCGCCCCAACACACACACACACACACACACACACACTGCACTCTGGGAGTCTTTACCACCTTCATCCGAGGCGACAGGCCTCAGGAAAATAGCAGCGATAATGCTGGTGCGTGCAGAGGGCAGGTGAGGGCAATAAGGTTGTGAGCACTGGGACAGTCGCAGCCCTAAGCTGGCCCCTGCCTGTCTGAAAGTAACCCCTGACGCGCCAAAGTGGTGCGGCGCCAGGCCGCGCGGCCGCCCTGTCCCACACGGAAATGGCAGGGTGAAGATTTCCAAATACTCAGAAAAGGAAGCGGAACCCGCGGTGAGGCACAGAGGTAACCCGCCTTGCCCCAGGCAGCATGAACGCCATCCTGCACCCCGCCCTGTATTCGCCCCCCCTCTTTCCAATTACATCCCAGCGGAAAGCGAGGATTGGATTTCGGCCCCCGTTCCTGGGCTATAAATACCACCCCCTACACACACCTCTTCCCCTCCCCCCAACCTGGCCTGGGCCCGGGCTCCCGCTCGGCTACAGCTGTCTCTGCCCGTCCGCGCCCCCGGGCTCCCGCTGGAGAGGGGCCGGCCTGACTCACGAGACCGAACCCCATTCCTGGCTCAGAAGCGGGGTGCTGAGTCACGGCGGGGGGAGGCTGTGGGCAGGAGGGATGCACACGCAGCCGAAGGCAAAGGGGATGCTGGATCCAGTCACCCGATCCCCTTCCACCTTCTGGCGCCAAGCACGTGTTCGGTCCGTGCCAGGGACTGGGTGGGGTGAGGCTGGCGGCGGAGGGCAGCCAAGCGGGTCTCCCTCGCCCGCGGAAACTGGGCGCCGCACCGCGTGACTCCCCGCAGGAGGATTAGGGCGCGAACGCTTGGTGGGGCAGGAAGGGATCTCCAGGGCCGCTCCTCTCTCCTGGAGAAGAGTCCACTCCACCCTCCCCCTTCCCCAGCCTTTGAAAGTGGACCACACGGCCCGGCCAAAGTCAGTAGCCGGACGGGGTGGGGGCGGGGGCGAGGCAAACACCCTTGCGCCTCCTTGAGACGCGGAACGCCAGATGGAGGGCTCCGCGCATCCCCAGAGCGAGCGCCCCCGAGGGAGAGGGACAGTTAGGGGGCGGGCAGGATCCTGGCGGGCCGCACTCACCATGTTGAGTCCGGGCGGTGGGTCTCACGTAGAGTCCGGGCGACGGGTCTCAGTGAGAAGTGCGCTAGCTGCAGTGCGGCACCCGCCTTATATAGGGAGGCGGGCCCGCGCTCCTCGCCCACTAGGCGCCGAGGCCCAGAGGCCACGCCCCGCGAGGGCCCGGCGGCTCCGGGGGTGGGGCCAGCGCGGGGGCCTCCCGCCAGTCGCGCCCTGGTCCCTCACCTGGCGAACGTGAAGCAATCGGGACTTGAACTCCCCGCTCAGGGTTTGGGGCCCCCATGCCGGGCTCTCGAGCTCCGCTGCCGGCACGGGGGGCGCGGAGCCGGAGCGCGTCCCGCCTGCACCTGCGTCATGGGGGCCGGGGCGCGCAGGTGTTCTGGCTGAGGCCGCCGCCGTCGGGGCTGTGCGCCCCAGGTGGCTGCCGCAGGCCTGCGCAGGTGCCCTCCCGCCCTGCCTCTCCCGCGGCTCCCACAGGCCGCCTGGCTCCGGCCGGTCCTCGAGGAACCCCTTGCGGCTGCATGCCCGGGACAGCTGGCCTTGGCCAACGCCTGTGGGCGGCCGAGGACCGCGAGCTGCACCGCCTGAGCCCCAGGGTGCCGATCCCGGGGGCCGCGGGAGCTCTGGCCTGAAGTCCTTAGCACTGGACTCGCATCCCGACTGCCCTATGTGACCTTGGGCAGGTGACTTAATGCCACTGAACCCTTGGCTTCTTCATCGGAGAATAGGAGACGACTCCACCCTGAAAGCATTGCTGTGAGGTATCAGAACGCTTGTTGACGCGGAAGAGGAAAAAAGGAAGCGAAGACTGATATCGAGGCGGATTTTGGCTTTCATGTCCTCTTCTGACCCTCAGCTGAGGGCAGGAGCTACAACCTGCATCTTTAGAGCATCAGCACTCAGGTGGAGGCCTCAGCAGAAGCCATTCCCTCTTTCTATGTTTCATTTCCACTGCTTGCAAGAATGAACGCCTCAATCCACCTCTGCTTTCCTTGACGTGCCTTACATTTCCTAGCCGTCTCCTTTCACCGGGGAAATTCACCAGGAAGTGCCCCATGTGCCCACCGGCACAGACTTAAACCTGTCCCACCTGCTAGTCACTTAGAAAGGATTCACCTGCCGCTCCTACCATAGTGTTTCCTAGGGCCAGGGCTCTCTGACAACACAACACAGTAGGACAAAATACCTAGCATGCAACCTTCTCTCAACAAAAGAGCTGAACGAGATCTTACTTAGGCAAGGCAGGGAAAGGAATATGGTGAAACATGGCAAGGTCTCTCTTCCCAGTGGACTTACCTTCTGGTTGGAAGAACAAGACTCATTCATAAAAAAAAACACACAAAAAACTGACAAGGGCAAGAGAGAGGCTGCTTTGGGAAATGGGGTCATGGTCTCTACAGAGCAAGGACCTTGGTGATAACAGAACACCTGGCCTCTGCAGACCTCCCCTGGCTCTTTTCCACTTGTGCAACCCCAGCCCCGAACAACGAAGACCAAAAGAGATTTTAGCTTCGGCAAAACCCTAAACGTCTTTGACTTTCAGGTTCAGATGCTTCATTTGTAAAAGTGGGATAACTTCAGATTGTGAGGACCAGATGAATTTAGGAATGTGTATAGACATGGCAAAGCACTGTAAGCAGCTATCTGGATTCTTATTTTATTCGTTTGTAGTAGTGTGTGTAGTGCATCATGCTGCATTTATTTGTGCACATTTCCATCTTACTACATAGCAAACTTGAAGGTAAGGACTGTATCTTATTCATCTTTGTATCCCTAGTTCCAATGAAGGTGCTTAGCACATGGTAGGCATGTGCTAGTGTGTGGGATGAATTTTTCACTTCAGAGATGGGACTAAAATTAGGGTAGACATCTCAGAAGCCAGAATTTACAAATTGGCAGCCTGGAGGCCAAATTTGCTTTCAGAAATGTTTTGTTTGGCTCTCACAGTGTTAACCCCTGTAACATTTAGAATATGACAAATTCAGGAATTGTCTTTGTTTTGGGGCATTTCCAAGACCACCCCATATGTTAGGAGATTAGCTAGAACAGCGGTTCTCAACCTGTGGTTCGCCAACCTGTGGGTCGCGACCCCTTTGGGGGTTGAACGACCCTTTCACAGGGGTCGCCTAAGACCATCAGAAAACACATATATAATTACATATTGTTTTTGTGATTAATCACTATGCTTTAATTATGTTCAATTTGTAACAATGAAAATACATCCTGCATATCAGATATTTACATTACAGTTCATAACAGTAGCAAAATTACAGTTATGAAGTAGCAACAAAAATAATTTTATGGTTGGGGGTCACCTCAACATGAGGAACTGTATTAAAGGGTCGCGGCATTAGGAAGGTTGAGAACCACTGAGCTAGAAGAACTTGAAGGACTCAGCATAAAATTGTACTCACAACTAAGGTTTATTACAGGGACATAGGACAATACACAGGCAGATTGTAAGGGGAAAAAACAGAAGGGGTGTGTGGAGTGATCTATACCCTCTCCCTCCCATAAGGGCTCACAAAGTGTGTTCTTCCTCCAGAATAAAAGTGGAGCAATATTTCTCTGCAGTGTTTCTGCCCAAAGAAGCCCATTAGAGACTCAACACCCAAGGTTTTTCTTGGGTGTCAGTCACATAGGCACCTTTGCCTAGCACATACAACAATTCCAGACTCCTGGAATAAAAGCAGCTGTTCAGCATAAATTATATTATTTAGATTAAGAGTCTAGGCACAACAAACCATCATTGTCAGTTAACTGCTGATTTGGAACACTGCAAACGCCAAGTTCCCCGATGCCAGCCAAGGGCCAGTCTTGTAAGCAGGCCTTTCTAAGGATAGCAATCTCAGGCCTTTTATGTTAACTTTTTTATACACAGTCATGTAAAAACGCAGATTTCTGGTTGAGCCAGTGTGGCTCAGTTGGTTGAGTGTCATCCCATGCACCAGGAAGTTGCCGGGTTTGATTCCCAGTCAGGGCACATGCCCAGGTTGCAGGCTTGACCCCCAGAAGGGGGCGTGCAGGAGGCAGCCCAATGATGTTTCTCTTTCTCCCTCTCCCTTCCTCTCTCTGAAATCAATTGGGGGGGAAAAAGTCAATAACATAAAAATAAAAATGCAGGTTTCTAGGTTTAATTGAAAAGAACTGGTAGGTCTGGCCGTACTAGGCCTGCATTCCCATTTAGCAACAGTGGTAGGCAGAATAACAGTCCTGCAAAAAGACCCACATCCTAATCCCCAAACCTGTGCCTACATTAAATTACATGGCAAAGGCTTGGCAGACGTGATTAAGGTAAACATCTTGAGATGTGGAGATAATTCTGAACTTTCTGGGTGGGATCAGCCCTTACAAGGGTTCTTACAAGTGGAAGAGGGGGGCAGGAGAGTCAGAGTCAGGGAAGGAGAGGTCAGAAGCAAAGGTCAGGCGTGACTGTTAGCTTTCAAGATGAAAGGGGGCCGCGAGTAAAGGAATGTGGGCAGCTTCTAGAAGACGGAAAAAGCAAGGAACAGATTCTCCTCTAGAGTCTTTTGAAGGAGGCAACACTTGCAACACCTTGATTTTGGCCACATAAGACCAACTGTGGATAGCTGGTCTTCAGAACTGTAACATAGTAACTTTGTGTTGTTTCAAGCTACTAAGTTTGTAGCTATTTGTTACAGCAGCAACAGGAAACCAATACGGCAACAAATGGAGCTTTATGAGAGGCAACAAGCTGCTCCAATTCACTCAGTACATGCCATTCTGTGTTCCTGACACAGAAGACAAGTATCTGTTGCCATTTAACATCATATGCTCAGCCTACCTTACAGTTTTATGTTACCCTGACCCCTGTGGCAAGAAGTTTAAAACCCCTGAGCAGGCCTTCTGGCAGGGAAAATGGAGAAGGTGCAGGGAGAATTATCCAAGGCATGTTAGTGGAATGAAGAGTCTACTTCTGATTGTGTGCATGCACACATTTTGTGCATGACTGTGTGTATATCCTCAGGATATATACAGATGCTTCTGAATTAGGGCCGTAGCTCTGCATGGATATGCAGGTAATGGTCCATATTACCAAACTGAAAACATTTAGACAGTCACATACATGGACAGAATCTAGAAGACGATTCCAGGCACTTCACTCTTCCCATTGAATCATTGCTTAGTTCATCTACCATACATGGGTGTCCAGCAAAACACACTCTCTTTGGATTTCTAAACTTTCCCCCTTGGCCATTGTTATCTCTGTCTTTTCTAACCTTTTCCCAGAATCTTACACCTCCATCTTGGAGCAGAGCAACAAGGTCCTCAAAGTTTCAAATGACTCCACTGACGCCCTCTGGGAGAGGAGGAGTGGAGCCTTAGTGCACACCCTTCTGTTCCTTTCAGACTGGAGCACCTACCAGCTGCCTTCCTTCGCACAGCCAACCTTCCTAAAGGGATATCTCCATATCTGCTCTCCTCCCCACTCTCTATGCAGGCTTGGTTCTCATGCTCCACTGAGATGATCTGCCAAGTTCTCCAGTGACTTCCATCTTGCCAATGTTTACATCTCTATCTTCATCTTTCTCAGCCTCTCAGCTGTGTTTGACATAGTTGGTCCTTCCTCCCTCCTTGAAACACTTCTTTCTTGGCTTTAATGACACCTCCTCTCCTGGTTTTTGTCCTGGCCACTTCTTCTTGGTAGTTTTTCATGGTTTATTTCTAAAGGGAGTTCCCATAGCTCAGTCCTGGGCTCTCTCTTTTCTTTGTTTTTGTTCCTGAAAAAGCAACTGTTGAAGGGGGGTGATGAGTGTATGGGGTTTTATTATATTATCTCTACTGTAAGTGTATTTTTAAATGTCCTTAATAAAAAGTTACAACATTTGTAGGGTTATCCAGAAGGAACAGAACTAGAGTCTACACATTCCCCAACCATAGTGAAAGAATGGAATAAAAAGAAATAGCATCTATATGCTGATGACTCTCACATTTGCATCTCCATTTTGGACTTCTCTGAACTCCAGACTCATGTGACTTTTTGCATTGTTGACATCACCACTTGAAAGCCCATGAGACATCTCAAACATAGCACATTCAAAGCAGAACTCTCAATACCCTCACCCCCCTCCCTGCCAAACCTGCTCTGTCCTAGGCTTCTGAGTCTGAGTGAACAGTATCACCTTCCACCCACATGCTTAAGCTAAAAGCCTAGGGTCACCCTGCATTCCTCTTTCCCTCTCTCCTTCTCCTCTTTTATTAGTTAGATTTTTTTTTTTGGCTGCAAATAATGAAAAGCCTAAGTAACAACAGCTTAAACAATGAGGGTATTTATTATCCCACAAGAATTCTGAGTGTAGGGCGGTTCCAGGGTTGCTTCAGTGATGTCACCAATAACCCAGTATTTCCAGCTTTCTGCTCTGGCATCCTCAGTGAGCTGGTGGCAGCTTCGCTCATGATCACAAGATGCCTGCAGCAGCTACAAGTATCATGTCTCCAATGGACACAGGAAAAGGGGGTTTTCCTCCCACATCTCTTTTTATCAGGGAGAAAAACCTTTCCTTAAAGCATCCTTGCAGACTTCCCCTTTTAGCTCACTGGCCCCATTCCTAAACCGATCTCCGGAAGGAGGGACTAGAATTACCATGAATGGTTTAAACTGCTCTCTACTCACTCCTAGGTCTGGGGAAAAGCCATCTTCCCTGAGCAAGTGGAAGGGGAGTAATTAAACAAATCAGGACCCTGCGAGCAAAGAAGAAGTGGAGGCAAGGGGCAGGTAAGGCTGTTGGGTAGGTCTGCTGCACACATTAGCACGTCCCACTACTTTGAACCCAGCCACCTCCCACCGTCCCCACTCTAGTCCAAGCCCCACCCCCCATTTCTGGATGCCTACAGTAGCCTCCTAACCAGTTTTCTGCTTCTGCTCTTGAACCCCTATAATGCAGTCTCCACACAGCAGCTGTAATAATCTCTCTAAAACACAACGTAGGCAATGATGCTTGCTTAACCCTGCTATTGCACCTGTAATAAAAGCTGTTCTCCTTCCAAGTCCCTTTAGCTCTGTGATCTCATCTTGTATAGCTCTCCCCTTCTCTCACTCTGTTTCCTTGAACACATGGGGCTCACTCCTACCTATGGACCTTTGCACTCACTATTTTCTCTGCCTGGAGCGCTCTATCCAGATCCCGCATGGCTAACACCCTGTCATGCCCTCTCAGCTCCAGTGTCACCTTCTTAGAGAGCCGCTCCTTCTCAGCAGCAGCCCCCACCTCCCATCTCTTTTGGGGCCATTGTCCGGTTTTGTTTTCTCACGTGCAATGGCTCTCTGAGATCGTCTTCTTAATTTGTTATGTGTTTGCCCATGAAAATGTCAGCTCCTTAAGAGCACAGACTCTTTTTGTCCACCACTGTAACCCTGGCATCCGCTACAGTGCTTGGCACATAGTGGACACTCAATAAATATTTGTTGAAGGAATTAGAGTATTGACTGCCTCTTATTTTATAACTTAGGTACATTAATGTGCTTTAAAAATCTGTCTCGTTATTCCGTTTTACATAAGGCTTCTTCCCCCAGCTGCCTCTCTCTAGAGCTGGTGAAATCTTGGTTGACCCTGAGCCCAACTGGGAGTCCAGTTGGGAGAAGTTAAAGTGCTAGACAAGAACCCGACTGGTGTGGCTCAGTGGTTGAGCATCAACCCATGAACCAGGAGGTCAGAGTTCAATTCCCAGTCAGGGCACATGCCTGAGTTGGGGGCTCGATTGCCAGTAGGGGCTGTGCAGGAGGCAGTGCATTGATGTTTCTCTCTCTCCTCCTCCCACTCTCTGAAATCAATAAAAACATATTTTTAAAAAGTTTAACGAAGTGCTAGATAACAGAGTTTGGGGCCCAGTGGGTAGGCCCTGAATTCCTCCATCTGAATAATAATTCCCAGGATGACAATTCCTGAGGTCCGTGGCTTCATGAATCAGCCCTGTAGGAGGCGGGGCTTCCTTACCTTTGAAGTGCTGGTTGACTGTGTCTTCTCTCTGGGGGTCTTGGCCTCGTAGGTCCAGGTGGAAGAGTGGAGACTTCAGTCTACAACCCAAGTCAGAGGTAGCCATGTTGATATTCAGGGTCACTCCCTAGTAAACTGTGATGAGAAGGACTCTGGAAAAGCCCCTCCCTCAAAATAACCCCCACTAATTGCCACAGTGACTGAAATTTCACAGTAGCAACTACTTCCTGGATAGGATTGCTAGATAAAATTCTCTTATTTGCTAAATATGGCATTCCTATTCCAGGTCATGGTTGCTATTTGGAAAAATGACAGACGAGATGTTGTGTGGTTTCCAGGCAGCATTAGGGTCCATTTGAGGTCATGAATTCAAAGTCAGATTCATCAGCTTGGTTCTGGGGTTTTTCCACTATTTCGCTGGGTCAGTGCAGGCACAGACTTGGTGAAGAAATGAATTATGTAGGGTTGTGGTTTAGTCAAATGAAGCTGCTGAAGCTAGAGGGAGGCCAGGGAGTTGCGGGGTATGCAAGAGAATGACCACCACTGCAACTGAGAAAGGGAAGGAAGAAAATAGAGACCCAGGACGGGGAAGAGGGACAGAGACAACTCTGCCACGTGGAAAGCGGAGAAGCGCCGAGCTTGAGTCCCAGATTCTTAATTCTACCACTAACTAACCCCCATGTGACCTCGGGCAAGACATCGTGGGAATGGAGGCCCCACCTTGGCTACCTCACAAAGTTGAGGGTCTCAAAGGAGATAAGGGGTGAAGCAACCTTAAGAACTACAACACAGAATGTGAGAGATTAACATTTTTATTTCATAACTTTGCCTAAGGCCATAGGGCGAGTCCTTCGGTGGAGAAATCAGGGCAGGCGAGACCAGCAACAACTTGCACTGAAATAGGGAGAGACTCCGACAAATAGCCCCGAGCCCTGCTCATCAGCGTGTTTTCCCCATGGAGAACAGCAGCAATTCTGGACAGAGCACTTAGAAAGTTTGTTGTTTAACCCTCACAATTTCCCCTCTTCCCATTCTACAGATGAGAAAATGGAGGCAAAAAAGTTAAATGCTAGAGCTGAGGCTAAAACCAAGCTCTTATTCCCTATGTTCTATGACAGAGTTCCCACCCAAAGGCCCAGAGCTGAGGCTAAAACCAAGCTCTTATTCCCTATGTTCTATGACAGAGTTCCCACCCAAAGGCCCTGAGGTTGATCTCTTGTCCGAGGACTCCTTGTTCTAGTTCACCACAGACTCGTCATAGCCCCACCTACACGCCACCTCCCTCCCCTATTTGGGCCCAGGACCAGGACTTGCCTGCTGCCTGGTAACCAAGTCAACAGGCCTGCCCTCCCGGGGATGTTTCTAACAACATTTCCACCCTGAGAGCAGACCAGAGCGTATAGGAGGCCAGAGGCTGTGGGTCTCTCACGCACCCATCCCTGTTTTCCATCTAGCAGCAGACAGACCCCAGTCAGCACTCAGCCAAACAGCATGGTGAGCAGAGGTGGGGTGCTAAGCATGCAAGTGAGGGTCCCAGTGGGCCCAGGTGGGTGGTGTGAGGAATCTCTGGGAGTCAGGTACTACAGTGTGTGGGCAGGTGGGGATGGGGGAAAGAGACTTCCAGATGTGTGTGCTCCTTCCCAAATGTGCTGATATGTGGGGGTATGTGCAGGGGTGAAGAAGAACAGGGTGATGGTAACCAGGATGTGTGTGTGTGTGTGTGTGTGTGTGTGTGTGTGTGTGTGTGTTTCCTGAGCCTGGACTCAGGAACAGGGCTGCTAAAGGGCTCTGAATTTCAGGGTAGGGAGTGTGGGGTAAGCAGGACTGGAACACAAAATGTAGGCACTGCCCTACACACCCTGGGCCCCATGGCAGATTCACTGTGGTCCCATCTCCCAGCTGTGGGGATACACCCTCATAGCCCTGCCCAACTGCAGTTACATATTAGGGGGGGAGGAAGTAAAGGGGGGTACGGAGAAGGAGGGTGCGGAGAGGGAGGGTGCTTCCAGTTACCCAGAGTTGTCTGGGTGTGGGATCATTTGCTATCTTTAACCTGTCTCCCACATAGGCAGGATAGAAGAGCAGTTAAGAACATAGTTGGGGCCAAAACTGGTTTGGCTCAGTGGATAGAGCGTCGGCTTGCGGACTGAAGGGTCCCGGGTTCGATTCCGGTCAAGGGCATGTACCTGGGTTGCGGGCACATCCGCAGTGGGAAGTGTGCAGGAGGCAGCTGATCAATGTTTCTCTCTCATCGATGTTTCTAACTCTCTATCTCTCTCCCTTCCTCTCTGTAAAAAATCAATAAAATATATTTAAAAAAAAAAAAAAGAACATAGTTGGAGCCAGGCTGTCCCTGCTTTGAATATTCCTCATTTTGCTCATGACCTTGAACTAGTTGCTTAACCTCTTTGAGAGTCACTGTCCTCATCTGTAAAATGGGTTAATAAAAATACCTACTCAAGGGGGCTGTTGTGAAGATCAAATGAGAAAATGTATGTGAAGCACTTAGCATAGTTTCTGGAACTAATTAATGCTTAATATATGGGACTAATCAACATAATGACAAAGCCTGCTGGATACAGGTACGAGACTGTGCTATTTTTACAGTCAAGAAAAAGGAGCAAGGGCAGCAGGACAGGGTCTGACTTGGTAGACAGAGCTCGGCCAGGCTCGGAGGTGCAGCAGTTGTCCCTGGCCTGGCCAGGTGGTTGGTGAGCTGAGAAGCTGAGTCAGCTCTCTCTTCTGGACCTGCGGATTTCTGAACTCCTGTGTCCTTAAATCCCTCCCAGATTAACTCATTAACTTTTCTTTCTATGACTCAGTGATTAGGGGCTGAGGGGTTTAGTAGGGGGACCCAGCATATGGTGCACCCTAGAAAGTGTCATGAAATGAGGCAGGCAACATGCATGCATTCCTTCACTTAATCCTCAAAAAAAATTCTAGGAGGGGGCTCTTATTATTGCCCCCTGTCATAATGGAGGACATCAACAGAGAGGCTAAGACTTGCTCGAGGCAAGTACACAAGTAATGGGGCTGGGATACAAATGATTTATGGATTAATCCTAGTCATCTAAAAATCATAAGTCAAGGCCCTTATATCATACTAGAGGCCTGGTGCATGAAATTTGTGCACTGCGGGGAAAGGGGTTGTCCCTCAACCCAGCCTGCACCCTCTCGCAGTCTGGGACCCCTCAGGGGATGTCTGCCTGCCTTCTTAGGCCCGATCCCCCTCCGCGCCCTGCAGTCCAGGGCTCTCGCAGTCTGGGACCCCTCACTCCTTACTGCCCACCTGCAGCGGAGGCTGGAGAAACTCCCACCACTGCTGCTGTGCTAGCCAGCCGTGAACCTGGCTTCTGGCTGAGCAGCCCTCCCCCTGTGGTAGCGCACTGATCACCAGGGGGGCAGCTCCTGTGTTGAGTGTCTGCCCCCTGGTGGTCAGTGCACGTCATAGCCACCAGTCATTCCACCGGTCCACCAGTTGGTCAATTTGCATATTAGGGTTTTATTATATAGGATAAAAATGTCAGTGACATGTTAAATTTATGGAGAAAGTGTCCTCGTTAAAATATGTACAAACTATTTTAGATATGTAAAAAGGTATAAAGAATAATCTAATGAACACCTGTTACCCACTTTAAGAAATAGGATCTTGCCGAAACCGGTTTGGCTCAGTGGATAGAGGGTCGGCCTGCGGACTGAAGGGTCCCAGGTTCGATTCCGGTCGAGGGCATGTACCTGGGTTGCGGGCACATCCCCAGTAGGAGATGTGCAGGAGGCAGCTGATCGATGTTTCTTTCTCATCGATGTTACTAACTCTCTATCTCTCTCCCTTCCTCTCTGTAAAAAATCAATAAAATATATTTAAAAAAAAAAAAAGAAATAGGATCTCAAAAAAAGAAAGAAAAAGGATCTCTTCCCAATTACATTCATCTCTACCAGAGAGAACCATTATTCCAAGTTCGGTTAATATTTTCCTTTGCTTTCTTTATTTTTGCAATATATACATTTTACAAGACTATATAGTAAATATATAAATTTATCTGTCAATGATGCATAGTATTGGTTATATAAATGGTATCATATTATATGATTCTTCTTAATTTGAGATACATCACTTTAGGCTTCTACTAGCAGTGTAAGAGTTCCCATTTCTTCGCATCCTCTGTATTGTTAAGCCTTAATTTGGGGAAATTTGATGAATGTGCTCATTTTATTTGTAAGGTCTGTGGAAATTACTTCTCAAGCAGAGAAGTACTCTGGTAGTACCCAGGGAAGTGGTCTGGGAGACGTCTCTGGTACCCCACCGACTACACTGCCACACATCTGTTAACTTATGAAGCTCTCCCTTCCTTAGACAGTGAGCTTCTTGAGGGCAGGGACTGAGTGATAGGTGTTATGTGTCCCCAGTGTCAGCACAGTGTGCAGTACATAGTAGAGGCTCAATAAATCTTTGCTGAAGCAAGACAGTCAAGCCTTCTTG